TAAAAAATAAATAATAATGTAATTTAGATCAGTTGGGGTTTTTAAAAGCATAAGTTTAACGGCGTTTGCAACACAATAAGGGCATCTAAGGTGTTACAAGAGAGTAACAAGTATATAAAAGGAGGAGAGACGAGGATGATAGATGCTTGACAAGAAAGAAGGAGCAAACCACACCAGAGCACCCGCCAACCAACCACCACAGATTATATATTATACTGGTATGCAATGTGTTTATAAACATCAGCGCTGTTTCTTTTTTAGATGAGACAGAAATGTCCAAAATCGTGAGATGGCAACTTACTTCGATCATCTCCCAACCTGTTGAACATTTTGACCATATTAGGTTAGAATTAATTATATTAATATTTAATGCATTCATAAACGACAGCGTGTTTTTTTTTAGATAATAAAAATGGTGACAGAAATGTCAGAATTGTGAGACGTCAACTTACTTTGATCCTCCCTCAGCACGAATATTTTGACCACTACCTCCCTGTATCCCGGGAGACGGTTAGTCAGTCGAAATACCACGCTGGAGCAGCCTTTATTTATCTTCTTAGCGGAATGAAAAATGTCTGTGTTCCATATATCGTTTTGCCAATTGTCGTGTTTAGGTTCTTCTAAACAAACGACTGTGCCGAATGACCCACCGTCTAAAAGATCTAATAAGCTGGAGGAACTCATAATTTCGAATTACGAGAAGGCACACAAACGTTAAATTCTTTAATTTAAGATAGATGCTAAAGAAAACACACTCGCGCACGTGCGCACACACACGCGCGCACACACACACACACACGTCGTTTTTCTTGGGAGCTACTAGATCTAGTAACTTTCCAAAATGTAGACTACGGTGAAGCAATGAGAATTAAAACCAGTGGTCATCAAAGAGTCCTAAAGTTGTCGTGTGAAGTCTCTCTTCTCTGATTGTAAGTACTTGGCCAGCTGATCAGATGACTAATGATCGAGACGCTTCAAGTTTTTTTGGGGGGTTTTTAATTCAGGGTGTGTGCACCTTCCAATAATTCTTTGTTCTGATTTTATCAAAAGTTGTTGAGCAGTCATGCTGGACACTTGCCATCGACCTCCCTTTGATATACCGCCCCATTGTGTCCGAACACAAAGAAACAGAAGAATGACCAGCGTGACGTGAGAAGGTGTGAGGGAGACTGCGTGATATAGCGACCTCTGAT